CTGCCCTGGATTTCTGAAAAGGCACGAGATGTGCACTCACAGGCAGCATGCACACGAGACGTGCAGTCGTCATGTTCATCAGCTGCTGTTGTGGAGGTTCCCCCACCCAAGAGCACGCAGCAGGTTCCCTCTGCAGATGGCCGTAACGTGCTGAGATCAATGTCCCTGCAGGAAAAAGCTAAAAACCATTAAGAGCAGTGCTCTTATTATCAAAGGTTCAGGATAGCTTTGGTTAAGATGTAATTATTTATGGCAATGTCTTTCTCTAACTCAGCCTCTTTGTTTTCTGTATTTGCACAGAGGTGGGAACAGAGACTGCAAGAACAAAAGCTGCGAACGGCCCGCAGTAAGAACCAGAATGCAGGACACAGTGGTCGGAGTGGAGCCCCAAAGCCATCAACCAAGAACACCAGCCCGCTGGTCAGTGGCCCCAAAAAGGCCACTAAAATAAGAAATGGCCAGAAGGAAATCAACCCTAAAAAAGTATGAGTGTGAAATCTCCAAAAGGAAAGACTTTTCCTGCATGAGGAGGGTCACAATCCGGCTTGGTGGGCATTTTTTATTGATTCAGAACTCATCAACTTAATACCAGCAGTTTCTACATAGACATTTTTGCTGCACTTTACTTTTAAAAGGTTTGCTTTTCCTTTCAAGCCACTGCAAGCCATAGAGCATAGGTCTGCACTAATATGTGGTAGGCATATTTGGGCTGAGTGAACTTTATCTTAGGGCTCTGATTTGCCTTTCTAGGTAGATCTAGCCTTGGCTGCCAGAGATTTTAACTCCTTCTGCCAGTTGCCTGCCCTGCTTGCCTGCCAGAGGTTGGAGAGCTGTGTGGGGCATCTCTTCCCTCCTCAGAAAGTGCACCGGCGTAGTAGTTGGCGAGTTAGCCTCTGAGTTAGTCTGCTGAGCTGAGAGCCACAGCAGCTGAGAAGCAGCAGAGGGAGGGTAACCTCTGGCAAACATCTGGGGCAGCAACCACTGCAGCTGCTGGAGCTGAGTCTATCTGCTCTTTGGAATCACAGCCTCTGCTCAGAGCATTCAGAAGCATAGGGTACCAATGAACATCTGGGTATGCATTATGTGATTATTTTTATGTGTGTGCCAGAAATATGCTTACAGTGTTAGCGTTTGATCTCTTGGTTTGTGTAGCAAAAATGTATTGAAAGCAGACATTTAATTTTGTTATGGTACTTCAGGCTGGCTTCTGTTGTTATAATTTCAAATATATTTAAGCATCTAATTGAAAAATCAGTATTTTTTAAAAGGACAGATTAAAGTGAAGCAGACCTGTAGAATTCTTAAAAGTAACACTTATGTTTGCTGTAATATAGCTTTGTTATGAAAACTGGAATAGAAACATTATTCTAAACATAACTGTACAGTATTAAAGAGAAGATAGGGCTTCATATGGCTCCGTGTTCATTTGGATAATTTTTTATCGTCTGACAACATATTTCTAAATCTATCTCTGATACTAAATAAATAAATAAATAAATAAACAAATAAATACATGAACGTGGCTTGTCTCTATTCCTGAACTTCTCAAAACAACTGTCTCTCTGCAGTTATGCTGATCAGAAGGTACCATTTACCCTGCAAAGGGTTACAGACAAAGCAGATGCTTTTTTTTATGTACTAAGTTTTACTGACATTTGTGGTGTGAAGTATTAAAATAGCAAAGGTGATATAAATCTAATTGCCATAACTCTGAGATGGCATCTGTGCTATTCCTGCCCAAGCTCTACCTGGGTAAGGCCGTATGGGTAGCACAGTCTGATTTCTGTTAACACATAAGAAGATCACCTGCATGAACATTATTAGAGCTCATGATAGATGTCTTAAAGACCTTCAAGAATTCCTGCAGCAAAACTAATGACTAGGCTTGGCAATTCTGGTATCTATAAAACAAAATGAGCGTTTCTAAAATAAAAAGAGTTTACATCAGAAAAAAAAAAAGAGTTCTATGTAGGTTAACAAAAAGAAATACAACTGCTCATATTAGATCTATGTTATTACAAGAATTCCAATGAAATCTGCATGCATGAAATTCAAGGCAGAATATGCTGGAGTGATTTTGGTAGCAGTAGTAATATAATTGTTAATATGTTAACACAAGCAAAAGACACAGATGCCAAGTCAGAATGCTTAAAACAAAGGGTCAGAGGTGTTACAGAAAAATGGAATAATAGCGTGCAAGGTAGTTTGGGGAGAGAAAACAACCCTACATGATCCCTAGTTGATCTTTGAGCAGTTGATTAAAATATGTGAAGGTCAGCATTTGAATGTAGCTCTTCGTGCAAATTCTGGGCAAACACAGAACTTTATCTCCATGGAACATCTGCAGAATTAGATCCAAAATTCAATCCAGATACCAGGAATCCTGAGCATATATTACATCTATCGACTTTAATTGGAATTACGTATTTGATGTGTCTAAAAAACCAGATCACAAACTTAGGTGACTAAATACAGACTATAGGTGAAATCTGAATTCTGTAAAATGAAATGGAAAAACTGAAACCAAAATCAAAGGAGACAGGATTTCACCACGCAGCTCATCCTTCCCCCTCCCCAGTCAGATAGGGAGGAGAATTGGGAAAAAACTTTGTAGGCTGAGATAAAGACAGTTTAATAGGATGGGGGGAAAAGATTATGACCATAGTAATAATAATAATTTTTTAAAAGCTTCTGAAATAGTTTTACCTATCTACTGTGTAGCAGGAGCTTTTAAGCTTTGATTACCTATTGATCCCAACCTAAAGTACCCCAATAAATATGTATAAGGATAGCTATTAAAAATTAATGGCAGTGCTTTCAATGTGATGTTGAACTAACAAATAACAAAAGTTGTGATATTTCAACAAGTTTTATTGTGAACATAGGCAAGTGTGGTGTTTGTTGAATGAAACTTTTGGAACAGCCAGCTAGACTTCTTAGCAACATTAATATTATTTTACAGCTGTTAAAATCAAACTTTTTTTTTTTTCCAATACGGATAAGAAAAAAGTAAAAATTGTTTTCTCCAGAGAATTGTCACCATTCCTTCTGTAAGTTACCATCATTAGACTGACTATTCCAGTAATGTTGGAAAAACTTTGATGCACTGAGCTTGGTGTTTCCAAACTTCTTGACATTTTTATGTATGCTTTGTGCTGACTAACTTTCGTTCTGACACGGTAAAGATAAGGAAGAGGGGGAGGCAACACAACAAAAAGCATACAATACAATACAATGCAACAAAAAATCACAATACAAAGAACAGATGAGCAGTCATGGGGGATGAATTAGTAAGGCAGTGTGTTTTCCCGAATTCCTTTTTTTCTACTTTTTAAGAAACCATGGGTCAACCCAATTCAACACTAATATAAGTAACTCCATTTTGAAAATCTCTTCCAATCATTAACTCACTGCAACATCAAATGCCAGATGAATCCAGACACAGAACATCCCTTCCCTCCAGCCCACTGCCCTTCCCTTGCAAAGGCGTGAAACAGATGTTGGAACAGCAAGGGCTGTTCGAGCAGGCAAATGCCTCCTCCTGCATCCCTGCCTGGCCCACTGACCACTTCTGCTCCCCAGCACGTGGCAAAAAATCAGCCTCATCTCTCTTTGTCCACAACCACGGCCAGGTGTAGCCATTGCCATGCCAGCGCACCCCAGCACCGGAGTCATGAAACCCCAGTTTAGTAGACTGGGCAAATAGTCCACTGATGGATGAAAGTAATTACTGTACCTATTTCCAGCTGAAAAAATTAACAGGCCAAAACTTGAAGTGTCAATTGTTTCTTCTCAGTGTTACAGCTG